TGGGAATAATGGGACTGGGATCCAGCCAGGCCATGCCCTCCTTCAGCAGGTGATCCTGGGAAAACGGGAACAACGGGAAAAATGGGATTGGGAATGGGAATAATGGGATTGGGACCCAGCCAGGCCATGCCCTCCTTCAGCAGGTGATCCTGGGAAAACGGGAAAAACGGGATTGGGAATGGGATTGGGAACGGGAATAATGGGATTGGGACCCAGCCAGGCCATGCCCTCCTTCAGCAGGTGATCCTGGGACAACGGGAAAACCGGGAAAAATGGGATTGGGAATGGGAATGGGAATAATGGGATTGGGACCCAGCCAGGCCATGCCCTCCTTCAGCAGGTGCTCCTGGGAAAACGGGAAAATGGGATTGGGAATGGGAATAATGGGACTGGGATCCAGCCAGGCCATGCCCTCCTTCAGCAGGTGCTCCTGGGAAAATGGGATTGGGAATGGACTGGGATGGGCTGGGAATGACTGTGGGAAGTGCTGAGTTGCCGTTGCTGCTCCCATCCCCATCCCATCCCCAGTTTCCCATTCCCACCTTCCCATCCCCATTCCCAGTTTCCCATCCCCATTCCCACTTTCCCAGTTCCCCATTCTCAGTTTCCCAGTTCCCCATTCCCAGTTTCCCATCCCCATTCCCACTTTCCCAGTTCCCCATTCCCAGTTTCCCATCCCCATTCCCACTTTCCCAATTTCCCATCCCCATTCCCAGTTTCCCATTCCCAGTTTCCCAGTTCCCCATCCCCAATTTCCCATCCCCATTCCCAGTTTCCCATTCCCAGTTTCCCAGTTCCCCATTCCCAGTTTCCCAGTTCCCCATCCCCAGTTTCCCATCCCCATTCCCACTTTCCCATCCCCATCCCCAGTTTCCCATCCCCATTCCCACTTTCCCATCCCCATTCCCACTTTCCCATCCCCATTCCCACTTTCCCATCCCCATCCCCAGTTTCCCATCCCCATTCCCAGTTTCCCACTTTCCCATTCTTCCCAGTTTTTTTTTTTTTTCCCACCTACCAGCACCTGCTTCGCTCTCTCCGTCTCCCACTTGAGGCTCTCCCGGATCTCGCTGACTGTCACAAATCCTTTTTTCTGGGAAAAACCAGGAAAAATCCGCCTGGGCTTCAGTCCAGGGCCCTTCGGCCCCATCCCAGCCCGGCCCAATCCCGGTTTTTTATGGAAACACCCAGATTTTCTGGCTCTTTTTCATCCAGGTTTCAATCCACACTTTGGCAGCTTTGCCCACGAGCCGGATCCAATCCCAGCTCCCAGTCCTGGCTCAGCAATTCCTCACTCCCAGCCCTCTTCCAGGTGTCACTGCCAGTAATTCCCATTCCCAGGTCTCATTCCCAGGTGTCAATCCCAGGTGCCAATCCCAGCAATTCCCCAATCCCAATCCCCACTCCTGGTGCCATTCCCATTCCCATTCCCAGCATTCCCATTCCCAGCATTCCCATTCCCAGCATTCCCAGCATTCCCATTCCCAGCACTCCCATTCCCATCATTCCCAATCCCAGCATTCCCATCATTCCCAGCATTCCCATTCCCATCATTCCCAATCCCATCACTGCCATCATTGCCATCATTCCCAGCATTTCCAATCCCATCATTCCCATCATTCCCATCATTCCCAGCGTTCCCACCTCGGCCAGCTGCAGCACCACCGTGTGGTCCATGTTCAGCCAGGTCCCAATCCCAATCCCAATCCCCATCCCATCATTCCCAATCCCAATCCCATCCCCACCATTCCCAGCATCCTCCGGGCCGCCAGGCGCTCCAGCATCCCTGATGATTTCAGAATTTGGCAGGATCCCATTCCCATTCCCAATCCCA